CTTTGTGGACTGGTGTTGGGTTAATGGGTTAATGTTGGACTTGCAGGCTTGGGCAGCATTGGGTTGGGATGTTTTCGTGATGCCCACTTTCTTTATATAAAACTCTCTTATACATGAGTTGCTGTGGATTTGTTTCTCCAAAGTACCCAGACTAATACAAGGCCCCTTGTGTGCGGAACAGGCATCAGATAGGCTGTGGCATGACAGGGACCAGAGAGCAAGAGGGGAGAGAGTCTGTGGGCCCCGAATAGGCCCGGCGGTGCATGTGTGCCCCAAGCAGGGCCCCCCTAGTCTGGGTAGACCAGAGAAACAAGTCCATGATCACTCATATGTGTATAAGAAAGATGTTTATATACAAGAGCAGTTAAATATAGAGAAAACATTCCACCCCAGTCCAGATCAAGTCCATAAGTCTGATATTAGTCTGCATGTACGATACCAACCTATAAAGTCCTCTTCAGATTCACGAAACACATGCAATGACACCACATGCTGGAAGTGAATTGCCCAGCGAATCACAGGGAAGTCTTGTGGACCCAGTGGGGCCCTAGGCACCTCAGCGCTGGCAGGGGTCTCCACATGGCTTCTTCAACTCCAGGGGTCACGGTGGCTTGTTAGAGGTCATGGGCTGTATCAGCATAAGACCATGTGTCTTGTCAGTCGAGTGCCTCTCAGGGAGTGAGCCGAGAGTGTGTTTTCTGCCTCCAAGGAGAAAATACAGGAGTTCCCAGAACCTTCAGAAGGCCACGCCCACACAGAGGCCTCATTGGCTTATCTTGATTGACAGGCTAGACTCCACCTCTACACTCATAATCCTCCACTTGACACCAGAGTATGCAACTACCACACTATCAGAGATCATTGTAAACTTGATTATGCTGTATTGAACTTGATACTTGGGTCCGTTGACCTCCCTCTCGACCCAATCTGAAATTGTTCGAAGTCCAAGTTGCTTGTTCCATGACAAAAATGTCTTCCCTGGCCTTTTAAATCTGATAGTGGTCTTGATTTTCTTACTCATTATTTGTATTTTTATCTTCGTATTATTGATTTTATCCTTGCCACTTTATTTTGTTTCTGCTTTACTTTTTCATTGTTTCTGTGTTTCTGTTGGGTTTTCCAGTTTGAAGCACAGAAGGAGTAGAGAGATAGAGATAAATACTGATGCAACGGTTTATAGTAGCGGTTCTCAACCTGTGGGTTGTGACCCCTTTGGGGGTCGAACGACCCTTTCACAGGGGTTGCCCAATTCATAACAGTAGCAAAATGACAGTGATGAAGTAGCAACGAAAATAACTTTATGG